TCAGAATTTTCAGGACCTTTCTTGAGAGGACTTGACATGACCGTCACCACCACACACTTGGAAAGGTTCGCGTAAGATTTCTTCATTTCTTCACCATTCTCACCACCATGGCAATTTCTAGTATAGTATTTTATTATGAGATCAGGTAATGCTTGACGAACCCTACCGAAAATTAGACCAACCCAAAAAGACATCCCTCCAAAAATCTGAAAAACGTCTCCCTCCCGTTAACTTTGCTCAACGCACGGTTACCCTTCAACTATGTTCTGCGTTACGAGGTGATTGACCGGGCATCGAGGTCGACTAGTAACGCAAAAAGTAATATTTGAAGGGTCCACTCCTTTTTTGTGAAATACCGCACAAACGAAAATTACCTGATGGTATGACCTGTACCACGATAATCGAGCTCCTCTCTCTGAGGCCTATCCGACAATTAAGCTGTCTAATGAACATGCATTTATACTAACTGTATCGTATATGCAATATTTGACCATGTTCTAATCGGTGATTCCGCAGGGGGGTTCTCACTCATGCATCAGCAAATGGAGCGATCAATACTGCCATTATTCGCAACGTGCATCGATTTTTTCTACAATCTTGTAGTTCCTCGACATCAGACCCTAATGCGCTCGGTTACAAGGCTTCTGTCAACCAAAGGGTGAGAACGTAGCTGGAAAAGCACACACTTTGTGTCTTATTGGGACTAAGCCTTTTGAAGAAGATAAAGAAAGAGGAGATGCTGTGATAGTGTGCACTTGTGAGAGCTCCCAGACATCACTACAAAACGCTGAACCGCCAAGCCTCACGGTTGACAGAAATCCTAAGACCAATCGCTCGATAATTTCTTTTATCGGATATTGCCAGCTAGCGCCATACTCTACATAAACAAACGTTGCTAAGGAGTGTATAAAAAACAAACCTCTATGTCTAGTTTGGCATGTTCGCCGAGTCGAGCTCTACGACGATTCGCTCTGCCGTCTTCTTCCTCAGCGGATGATTCAGAAGAAGGAATGTCAGCCGTCAACGGACTAAAGATTTTAACGTTAAATAGGAACAAAACGTTATATTAAAATGGTACGAATGTGAGATGCGTCGATAAGGGGATGTGGAAAATCATTTCAAACAGACAAAGACACAAGTGTGTGGTCGAACCTTTTCACAGAGTTGTCACGAAAAGCCATCAAAGGAGCAGCAGCATGCTGCCGTAAAGTTGACCGTCTCCCAGTAGTAGAAGTGGATGACAGGAACTTCGTGATAGGCGATTGACGGAAGGGACTTTTGACTGTAACAATGAATTCATCACCACCACACTGCTTTTTGCTTGCAATTGCTGCATTGTCATCGCTGACACTTGATAACTGATTTTCAGGTGTAAGAGGAGATAAGAGGGTTGAAACGTAGAGGATTAAGAAAAACACACTGAAACTGGTCTCCTTCTTTCGTCGCTTATGCATGGGAGTCTGATCTGTGGGACTGTTCCTTCGTTTTGGCTTCGGCGTAGCACCTAAATTTCGGATTTTCACAAACACCATTCAAGGATTGAGAATCTCGTAAAGCACCGTTGACGTTAAACAGATCCCCGTTTGATTCCTTTGCGATCATGAATGATCCTAACCCCAAACCACCAACAGCATGCTTTGTTTCAGTAGTGAGAGCAGAGGCGTCCTTCACAGCTCGAGGTCTATTGTTCCTAAAGGAAAAAATTCAAATGCATGCGTAGTTTCTTTACTTGTAATTTGAATATAGACGAATTTCCTTTTTTCAAAGACAAAAAAAATGCGTTGGAATGTGCTCCCATGCTCTGCAACATCACAAGCTGCAGAAGCAACGGTCGATATTAATACAATTATGCAACACGCTGGCGATGGGTCTAGTCCTCCAAAAACGATGTCTAATAAAAATGGCTCTTGAAAAAATTATCAGGCGCTATAAAAACCTTTGAATCTTCTCTGTGTCTGATTCCTGCTCACTTTCATCCTTTATGACTTCTGCCTCCAAAACATCGTATAGGCCCACGCGCGACACCTCCTTCAGGAAAGACTGCTCCGATTCATTCGATAGCAACTGAAATGACATGATAATTCAAAACGGACACTCGAATGTGAGAGATATTTAGAAAAAAAAAACAGAACATCAAAGAACATCTGAACATTGTGTACCACCTTTTCTAAAGAACGTTCCCTTTCTTCTTCCTTATCCAGAAGCGCCAGTGCAAGTTTACGGAATTTCCGACCGTAGTGCAAAAAGTAAGGATTCTCCAGATTGAACTTTTCACAATTGTCGGTCATCAGAAGCACGTCAGTCCGTAATGCTCCTATGGAATCTGGAAAATCAGAAGCAATGTCATGTGTTTATGCGTTCAATGTTCGAGTATACGCATTCGATCCTTGCTCAATTTATATTTAGCTACCAAAATTCTTGGTGATCCCTGCATGAGAATAACGTACATCGAAATAATGAACAGAGTTTGCTTCACTTCAAGACACCTACTCATTTATCTCGCATGCAAAAAGCAAAACTAATGTTGTCATCTAATCTTAATGATAAGCCGAAGGAAATCTAATTCGGAGCCGTAAGCAAGATCATTTCCTGGACAGAATTTGCAATATTTGATGGAGTTTGTGCTTTTATGGTACAAACTGTTCCCTAAAATGAAATGTGAGAAGTACTAGTTGTGAAATTGTGACCACGCAGTGAATTTGCCAGAAGCAAGAAGGATCAGACGTACCATACTTCCCCTTCTCCAGTTTTTTCCTCATCGTGGAGATGTCCATTGGATGCTTTATGAAATCACGATAGCCTTCCACGGTAACCGGAGAAGTAAAAACCTGAACAGTACCTTGGGATGTCCAATCATCTCTGGTGAACGAAATATTTAGTGAACTAAGAAAAAACCTTTTCTTTATCCTTTTCGGATAGGCGATCAATAAGCTCCTCCAATACCACAGGCAAGGGCTTAAGCAATGCCGACATCAGCATCGAAGACACTTTTCGCTGAATGAGGAAAAACGGATAATTCCTTGACGGAATGGTGTATCGGGGCTACGGTCACACTCGATGATCACAATTCCCAACGCCCCGTCGTTAAGCCCATAGCAGTTGCCGCTGGTTGACCCATATGTACACAATTCTGAATAAAATGCAGGGGTCACAGTAGCACGTCGCGATGGGGATTAAGTTCTGTGGCCACAGTGTGCTGCATACGCCCTAGGAAGGGCTACCGCACGGCAAACGCGACAACTGCCATCGCGCTCGACATTTGCTAGAAGTTCCTTACCCAGCCAAAAACCATTCCATACACGATTGAGTGCCCTGTAGAAAACCTCAAAAAAAAGTTCTACCCTGCCTACATTACTTTTCTTTGCCACGAAGGTCACTAATCATCTGTGTACACGAGGAAGTTCTCAATATCAAAGCAAAAATCAAGAAAATTGACGAGATGAGCATTTTTGAAGTAGAAAAATGATAATGACGTATACGACGTGAGCTACCGAAAACAATTAGCCAGGAATGGTCTGCATCGCTGCCATTATTCGCGCGGTTGGCCTCATGGACTAACTCCCCCCTGTTTTGTTTTTTAGGTGGCAAAACTCAGAGGGAGTTGTTTACTCAAGAGAGACGCAGTTTAAACCGACAGAGAGGTAACACATTACTGCAGCAACCCGGATTTGGCAATCACACTAGCAACATCAAAGAGGCAATTTATCGGCTGGTTTTTCGATTTCAATCAGTGTGACCGTACCCTTTATGCAAAAAAGAACACAAGATCCAACAGAAAATGTGAGAAAAGGATGGTATACGTGAAAACAATTTATAATTACTCACGTGGCTCTTCTTATGGCTTTCTCGCTTTTTCACCTGCTCGCAGAGTAATCGTGTTGTTTCGAGACTTACTCGTTTCATCATGAACTGTTCATAAATTCTTTGATCTTCTTGTGCGAGTTCAGAAGCAGGGAAATTTGAAGATCGAGATACTTTCTGGTTCAACTAAATACTTCATAATGAGTCATGAAAAACAACCAGAAAGATGGTTCAAGCATATGTGAAGCGCCTTTTAGGAAGCTTTCGCATAACTTTGAATCTCACGCCCGAAATAAAAAACTGGGGTGATTTTACTGCGCGTCTCCAGTTATGCAAAGGAAGAAGAAGGGCGAAGCTGTCCCTGAAAGGTCAATTATAACACTACTAAGGTGCTGTACTGAGACACTTTAAATCGCTCATGAGCTCAGCAAGTTTAGTTTTGCATGGATTCACAACAACGTCGGATTTATTCGCTTTTAGCTTTTTTTAATAGCCATATGGAGGCTGGATGCCAAAAATGGCATCAGCTTAGTTCGAAAAAGGTAGACTTTTGCTAGAAATGATGCTGAGAATGTTTGACAGGAGTCTGGATTGTGAACAAAACTTTCGCCCCAGACGGGACTCGAACCCGCACCTCTTGCTTACCGGGCAAGTGCGCTACAAGTTACGCTACCGGGGCACCATTTCATCCCAACTCAGCTCTTCATAGCGTACTTACGGTAAGCAAGAGGTGCGGGTTCGAGTCCCGCCTGGGGCGAAAGTTTTGTTCACAACCCAGCATTCTTGTGAAACATTCGCAAGGCGAACTGCGGCCAAAAACAGCAGTTAACAAACAAAAACAAGATGCTGAAAATGTTTAGGTGATAATGGTATATATTCTCAAAACGAAATAACATCAAATTTCAGTGCCGATCAATTCGCCACCGAGGCACAAAGTTCTGAGAGGCTAGTTGAAAATTCTACCAGATCTAAGAAAATACGTTGTCTGATTCGGTTTCGATGAATGGGAAAGGACTTTTCAGAGAAAAAAATAATTTTCCATAATCGGTAATCATGGGATCGTGATTAGATGAAAACGATTTTTCAGTCTGACGTAGGCACTCTACAGCATGCAAAACCATTTCGAATGAGCGCTATATATCTTGGACTTCCCCCTTCATAGGAATAATGAATTAAAAAGAATTAACTAAGCATGAGGAAAGGGAAGAAAGTGGAAAAAAGATAGGAAAACAGGAAACAGAGAAAATAGGAAAAAAATTGGAACACTTCATTTACCTGTAACCTCCTTATGAGAGGAACACCGCAGCGGCTTTTCCTCTTGAGATACCAGTACTGCACTATATCTTCAATGTCAAAACCGGCTAAAGCTTTTATACTTTCTAGCGACTCGACAGATAGTGTTGGCATGCTAAATGTTAATATGTTCCTCTCAAAAATGAAACGCTAAGATTTACGAAACTCACTTCACACTAGGAGATTTACAAGTTTTTGCAGCCATACTTCTTCGAGCTCGCCGAATCGCTTCGTCCATTCGCTTTTTACGGGCAGCTGGATCACTTTCGTCATCATCAGCATGCAAGTGACAGTAGACGAAGCGCTAAACATACTTTCCTCGAAATATGTACTGACAGTAAAGTCACGCAAATTCATCGATCTCCCATGATAGAGGCCGTGGTTATGGAGTGGCCAATTCTAACCATATTCGCCTGTCAATATATCAATACACCCGCTAGCGATGCCTTGTCCTCAGGGACATGTTCATATAAAGTCTCCTTGACAGTACATTAAAAAAATCTCAGGCTGATGCCAGAATCGCAAAAATGGCAAGTGCCTCATTTAAACATTCGAAACACTGAATATGAAACAAGTAAAATAATGAACATCGTCAATCAAGCAGAAATGGCGGCGGGATTGTAGAGCACCTTGCAGTACTTGATCGGGGCATTTGTGATTTCTGTGATCCGAGGCGCGATTCGTGCGGATGTCACGTATGTCGTCCATAGGTTAGGATTATTCCCCATGAGCTCAACGAGCTTTAGCGCCACAATGTCGCGCACTTTGGAGCCGGTATATGTGCGATACTCCTGAGCTACTCCATCTCACCCATTGAAAAGATTTATCGACCCCACCTCTGCTGGGGTTGTCGCTTCATGTATGAGTAGAACTTGTTGAAACATGACTAGTATAAAAATGAAGAGTTTCACAGAAAAGGCCACATGCTATGTCGCATGAGAGTGCACAGGACACATGCATGCTAGGTTTCATTCAAACACCCCGATTGATACCACACCCCAGTACAGAAGTAATGGAAAATAACAACGATGCAAAAGTGAACCATACCTGCACATCCATCATTTCAGCATTATTGGGGTCAAGGCTGCTCTCAATTTTCATAGTCATACCAGACTGCTGAGCGCAAGTGACATGAAAAGCCTTAAGACAACTCCTTGTTGAGCACTGCAGACATGCCCCCATCTTCTTCCTGAAACACATCATTTCAGAATGTTGTGAAGAGAAAAAAATAATGACAACAAAGCAATAAGTAACAGAATAAGTTAGTTAATAAGTGAGCGATAAGTTGGGCCTTCTGAATCGCTGAAGAAGAGAAAAAATGCTGCCTACCTGCATACCAAACATTTTAACTTGCATCTACGTTCGAGAGATGCGTCAACTCCTTCAATTGGCTCCAGAAACACAAGATTCCCGAAATGGACCTGAAGCGAGTAAAGTAGAGTGCAAAACCGCCACAAATTTCTTTGCAATCATGTATAAACATTTTTGAGAAGCAACAATGAAAAGCTAGAGAGAACAATACCTCATTAAGCCATATAGCACAAATGACATGTGCCCATCTTCCGTCGCTTGTCTGTTTGAATGCACCGCTTGTATTCGGGCACAAGCAACACTCCACCTGCGCAGAAGGAGAGAGTTTGCACCTGCGGCACAGCCATTGTCCCTCGGGAATGTATGGCACACCATAACAATCCTGAAAAAGTGAATTCTGCTGAATAATCCTGTCGTGCGCATTATGCTAATTTCCTAGAAAGGTAATCCCAATGAATAGAAGCACCTACTTGATGAACAGCAATATTACACATATCACAGTAGATTATTTGGTTGACGTTATTCACATCGCCATCGCCGCAAACGCAACAAACGTCATCGCCATCCATGGAAGAGCCGGGCATAATTGATGATGGCGTCCCTTTGACCTACAGATAAACAGAATTTACGTTCTTTACCACAAAAGCGAAAAAGAAAGTATTAACCAAATGTGTGAAATGGTAGGCATATGTTGCCAAAAACATAGAAATCAAGTATGCCGCAAACCTTAGACTACGACTTTTTTAAAATCGAGTCATGTGTTCAGTCAATGTGTTTTATGTGGCAGCTATCACTCCTTGCAATGACTAGTCAAATACAGAAATATGGCTGGATTTGACCTAGGATTCGATCTAGAGACTATGCGCGCGATAATGGCCCGTCTTGACACTACATCCTCACCGTTCGACTGAGCATTTTTGAGATATGAATTGGCAACCTAATTAACAATATCAAGTGCACAATAAAATATTTTCTTCGTAGAACAAAGCCAATGACAAGTTATCACCACAATTGGGAAGTATTGCAAGCCGCGCTCTGTAGGAGAGCTGCGGTCTAACCAGGGGCCGTAAGGTATGCTTCCCCGAATGGTTGGGGGACGAAAATCCTTTTAATTTTTTTTGTTTTGAACGATACTGTTTCTTCATTTTCAGTGCATGTTTACTTTAACTACACACATATATTAAATGTAGGCCCTTTATCAGGACAATCCCAGTTGGGAAGACAGAAAATTTAAAGGGATTTTCGTCCCCAACTCTTCGGGGAAGCATACCTTACGGCCCTAGGTCCTTCGGCTCTAACGAGGTTTTGTCGCCTTCTACTGCTTCAAAATCTGTGTCGTAATAGTAGGCTTCTAACTTCATTTTTGCACCATCCAAACTGTCGGGATCTTGGAGGTTGGAACATTGTCTGGGGACGCCGCCTTGTCCTCAACTGGTTCGGCCAATAAAATGCCCCGTCTTTCTTCGTTCCTTTTTGTATGCTGCATGTGACACAATATTGTAGGGAGCACCAAAACCATCACCGCAAGTACTGAGAATGTGTGAGACTTTACACTAATCTTTTTGGAAGCTGCACCCATTGACCAATAAGCTCTGGTTCAATTTGCCTTAATAAGTTATTAGATCCTTACTCCTAAACATCTCCATGCGCAAAATATTCATTACAAGATGGCCGACTATACCTTTGGTAGATTTTCTGATAATATTTCTGCGTGTATTTATAGCGGAACCTGCGACTGCGCGGGACTAACGCTGGGGAGAAGAAGAAGAAGATTTCTGCGTATATTTATATACATGAATGTATACATGTACGCGTATGAGTTATCCTGCCAACGCATGATTTCGACATCACGAGGCCAAGCTCGGAAAACCGTCGCGAGAGAAGGTAAAGATATAGAGAGATAAATTACTTGAAAAGCTCTAGTAATGGAAGCGTGACATACGCCCGTTAAAATACCTCAGGGAACTAAGGGAGACGGTCAATTCAATCGTCGGCTAATGAGGTCACGCCGCTCACGCGGCGAGCAGCGTCGCGCGCGGCAGTTGGTGCGGCGATTTTTGTGTGGACCTTGGCTTAACGGTCCTTGTCCATAAGTTGCTGGTGGGGTTAGAGAACTGATAAGACCAAAGTTCCAGACATCAGTGAGCCAACAAGAGTCACCTTAAGATCTCCGCAGTTATTTAAGCCTCACTGTACAGAGCTTGTGCCATGTAAAGGTTGTCCTTTTGAACATAATTTGACTTCTTTATTAATCAACTGCCTGAATTGTTATCAGAGAGCGATAATCTGGCTAAATCGGAAAAATTACGTTCCAAGACGCAGTGGAACGGTGAGGAAGGCAATAACATCAGTATGACAGAATAAGTTTGTAAATAATGGCAAAGGACAAGGATCCTGTATTTAAGGGGGCAGGTGATCATATACCGTGTTTCACGACTGGAAACTTCATCTAATCCTACATTCCCCAATGCTAGAACCCTGAATTCTAGCCACGGCCGACGTCGCATCGCGGGCTGCGGCGGCTGGCGCGGCGACCTAGCCACCTCAACGATTGACCCGGGAACTAAGGGTCAGGTACATAGCTTGCAGTTAGAGTCTGAGGTGAGTATGAATATGCGACCGTACAATCGCATGAACAATACGTGCTACTCCACTCTCAGACTGCAAACTGTGACCGGGCCATATAAAAAGAAATGAAGTAGCAAACCGAACTCTATGACCTCCGCAATTCTTTCATAACTGTCCGCGCTACACAGGAAGCGGGTGCTCGACAGAAGGTCCTTCGCACGACAGAGATAGACGGGCCAGGAGAGTCGCAGTGCGTACTTTAGCAACTTATGGTTAAGTTAAATAGAATGTACTACAGCACGCCCCAAATCGCACAGTACGCGCTGCGACTCGTCCGTCGACCCGTCTGCGCCTCTACCTTCTCTCCGCGCGACGGGCATCTTGTGGAGTACCCCGCGGGAAGCAGAAAGTGAATATTAACAGCTAACATAAAAAAAAACATGCTCAGTACAGACCTCAAAGTGACTCTCTTTCTCTAGTCTGTCCATCACCTGCTCCATTTGCTCGGGCAACAAAATACTGGCTTTATTTTTCTTCCGCTCCTTGTTTATATTTTTTATCCAAAGGTAATCCTGGAAGAATTGAATAAAGGAAAAAGTCCAGCTAAAGAGGTTAGAAAAGAAAGCTTTAAAGATTTTAGTCCACAAGCGGCATAAATGAGTACAGAGAAGTGCTAAAGATTGAGGAGCTAGGTAACATACCTCTTCGTCACAGTCATACTCCACCATTCGATCAAAGTCGGACTTAGTTTTTTCGACAAACTTTATCAGTTGCTCAGGGCGTTTTCGAGGGGGCAAGGCAGTCACATGAGAATCCACAGCCTTGTATTCCGCAGCGGGAACGGATATGTCTCCAGCTTTGAAATGCTAAAAGCGATATCATTCTCCAAATGTCAAGTACAAGAAATCATTTATTTTGATGAAAATCGAAGCTAGCCTTACATTATACAAAAAGCAGGAAAATAAAAGAAAAGGATAACTAAGCATATAAAAGTGAAGCGTTATTTAAGAAACAAAAATTGAAATACTAAAAGAAAATATCTATTCCTCGCCCTACCAGCCAATCTAGAGGGCTAATAGACTTCATAAAAATGAGAGATAATCGCGGTAGAACCCAATGGTCCTCCTTTCCCCTACTGCAACATACAGAAGGAGGACATATTGTTGATCTCCATCTGAGGGCACTTTGAAACACAGAACGAGACTTTTCTGATTTCCGCACCGTTTAAAATTGAAATCAAATAATGCTATGTTTGACACTGATAATTCTATGTAACAAATCAGCAAGAGCGAAACACATGATTTTGACTTGCTTTGTTCCACTTTTGTGCTTTTCAAACGCCTAGCTAAAAAATTTGTTGTAACTAGGAAAATTTGTTATAACTAGGTTATCTATAAGAAGAGATTGTTGTCATGTTGCTTATGTATCGTTATTTCCCGCGACTGCCTTATGCGTCGTTTCAAATAAATAATAA